TAGCTTGTCAAAGATGTATCCAGTCTCGCCTGACTCAAGCTTTGGAGTGAAATACTCCAGATGCTTGTGCAATCTCAAATACTGGCATCTCTGTCTGCTCTGATAAACAGATGGAGTTCGTCTTGTGCTCTGACATGAGCAGATAAAGGCTATCTGTGCTCAGCTCACTGGGCTAACTGCCTTGTGACAGTGGCCAAATAAAAGCAGGTCATGTTTGAATAAAGTTAGACACAGACCATGGGATGCCAGTGTCCCAGAGCTGTCTGTGGCAGACAGAGAGAGAGAACAGACTGCAGCAGTGAACACGGTGCCAAAACAAACCCTACCAACCAAACCATTTTACTATCTTTCCACTGCGTTAACATTACCCAGTGACTCGCTTCTGAGTAATTCTTATTGATAACATCAAGTTCACTGTTCACTGGCTGCACCAAATGTGTGAATCTTCCAATTATATTTTGCAACTCGTTTGGCATTAGATAAAGATTATCAGCTTAAGCTTGCAGTCACTGTAAATAAGTGGCTTTCTTTTTGATTTCTTTCGTCTACTACCATAGCTAACTTTCTAATTATTTTTTAAATTAAATATTATTTTTATCGGAGTGTGTTTTATAATGAAACAATTTTTTAAAGCTTTAAATAAAAAATAATATATAATAAGACTATATTTTGCAACCAAATAGTTTAGTCTTTTGGTTTCAATTCTCATCTTTAAGTGTAATTTGTTCTGTAAAATATCTGCGCACTAACTAGCGATTTATAAACTTAATGAAGCACATTTGACAAGAAAATACTTAGTTACTTGCTGTTAAACAATTTTATAAAAATGCTTTTCTGGAATTGGAATTGTAAATAAAACCTATTTGCCTAATGCTAAATCTATTTAAATTTATATTAATATCTACTAAAATACTATTTAATTATGTTTACAACAAAATTTTATATTTTAGCTATTCTTGATCTTCTGTCATTCGACTAACATTTTATGACTCAAAAATGTTTCATAAGTAAACAATTTTCAGTGGTTGTGTTAAACTTATTAATCAAATTACTGCTACATTTAACTAAATATTCCAATTTTTTTATTGACCTTTTTTTTTTGGTTTTTGATCCAATGACAATTTTTCTTTTTTTTCTTTCTTTTTTTTTGATGTTTCTCTTAACTGCAATACCAGATAATTTAATAATTTTTGAATGTTATCATAAATAACTGCACAAAAATATTCAAAGATGATTCTTTGGATTTACTAAAACATTTTAGGTAAGGTGGTTGTAAACAATTTATTTGGGCTGAATTTAAACAAATTACTAATTTTGTTTGTTTAAATTCAGCACATATAAATTGTTTGCAGCAATTTTGCAGAAATCTTTTTTTTTCAGTGTACCCTGTAAAAAGGTTGGGTTCCACACAACTCCTTCATGTTGTCCCAACACAAATTAATTAAGTTAGAGTTTAATTGTTTTTTTTTTTACAAATTTAAGTGGATTGAACATAAAACAATCATTTCCCCCAGAAAACTCCATAATTGTGTTGATTTAGCTCAATTCAGGACAAAGCTATTAAAATATTAGCTGACCCCTCACATACTTTATTTTGTGAGTATAAGTTATTGCTTGCTCATCTATGATACAGGCTGCCTGTGTGCAGATTCAACCAATTTAAGAAATCTTTTTTTCTCTACATCAGACTTTTAAATATGTAATATTTGTGTTGATGATTGAACGTTTTGATTGATTTGTGTTTTTGATGTCTGTTTTTGTTCAGTGCATGCTAGGGATGTAACGGTATCAGAATTTCATGGTACGATAATACCTCGGTATGAATGGCATGATATGGTATTTATTGAATAATTTACAGGAAAAACAAAACTAATGAAAAGACTAGAAAAAAGTGCCAAAAGTGTTTATTTACATACGTGTTATGACATACAAATTAGCCATCTATCTGTAAGTTTCGAAACAGGAACTTCAATTTTTCAATTTTAATAACAAAAAACTATTAAACCACATAAAAAGAAATACATTTTCAATTTAGTATTGTTGAAAACTCATCACATTCAACATTTAATCACTGAAAATTATCATATAACTATAATCTGGTATCTGGGCATGTCCCCTGCAACAGAAAAAAAAACCCTCTCGTTTGGGACTGAGGTTTCTGGGACAGAGAGATATGATTAAGCCAAGGTTGACAGCAGTGGGTAACGTTGTGCATTGTCTTTCCACCACTTGAGAGGACAAGCCATGAGTGAGATAGAGGTCTCTTTATGGTACAAGTCAATGTCTGCATCAATCTAACAAGTGTGCTGTGTTCTGCAGTCCCCATGACTGTTTTTAGTCGTATTCCCCGACTTATATTTCACCACAGTCTGGCAGTGCCTGCATACTGTTTTTTTCTTTGTCTGTCACCTTTTCTCCTTTTTCGTATCTTTTTAAAAAGAAACCGAAATGCTTCCACACATCCAATTTAAAACCCGCTTTAGGTTCGATCATTTCCAGCTCTTATTCTTCCCTGCTACTAGCAACACACTCCACTTCCGCATTACTGGATCTGTAGTGACAACAGATCGCAAAGGATGATGGCCACGCCTAGGCTGATGGAAATTGTAGTTCCCGCTACCTACCGTTCGCTTCATTCGCCTAAGCAAACTTTTCTCAGAAATAAAGTTTTATTGAGTCATGCGCCTACGGTAATATTGAAAAAAATTACTAATGCGGTATGACGGTATTTACAATATTGTTACATCCCTAGTGCATGCAAATGTGGGCCTAGAGGTTAAGGCCTCGTTTACACTAATACGTTTTAGTTTCAAAACGAATAAGTCTTGCCACGGTTACAGCATCCGTCCACACTACGCCGGAGTTTTCGAGCCCTGAAAACGGAGCATTTTGGAAATGCTGGAGAGGCCGTTTTCATTCTAAAACGCTGCTGCTCTGTCTCCCCATTGGGAACAATAAAGTGTAAACAAACAAACAAACATTTTAAAGTAGTTTGAATAAAAGCAAAAAAAAAAAAATATTTTTTTAATTGTGTGTACACTGTAAAAAATACACAGTTCCACACAATTCCTTAAGTTAACTTAATCATTTGTATAAATTTAAGTAATTGAACATAAAACCAAGTTGTCCCAAAAAAAACCCTTAAGAATTGTGTTGGTTCAACTCTATATTAGGTAGTTTGAACAAGCTGTATGAAAAAATTGACATATTAGTTCTTATAACATACAACAGACTTTTTGTGCCCTGAAAGGGAGACCAGAGTATGGCAATAGCTTGTAAAGCATGTAAAGATATGCACATTCGAGGGTCCTGACAGCTGATTGACATTCACAGGAGGGTGGGCTCATCCAACATTCAAGTTGCGTGATTTGTCAGTCATGCTGGGAGGCGAGTACATCAATTGAATATCAGAGCGCGCGAGAGAGAGAGACTGTGAAGGAGATCGGGCGAGATTGTGAATGCAAGAGAGAAATGGGAGGGTGAGCACTACTCCTCCCTCACAAGATCTCATTCTCACTGCACAGCAGCCCATTTTTATCTGCATCACGGAGGAGGAGAAAGACAGAGCAGAAAAAGAAGAAGAAGAAAGAAACAGAGCTCAGAACTCGGATGCTTAAACCTCTATTGTTGCAACAGCCGTGCATCAAAGCTGGGCTTTGTGGAAGGGGGGAAAAAATCAGGTGTGGAAAATCTGCAAATTGACTGACAGCCGTTAAGAAAGGCGAAGAACGGGATGAAAGACAACTTCCAATACATCTGACGCGGAATAGAGAAGCAACAGGATTGTCTCGTTTCTTAGCTGATCTCCTGCTTCTTCCATCTCTCACACATCTGATGTCTATTTTTCCGTCCCAGAGGGGGGACGTAAGGTGACGTCACACTTTTGGGATGCCAGTTTGAGAGTGGGTGGAAGCCAGACCCTCTCAGTCTGTTCCCCGCATGAGCCTGTGTGTGTGTTTATCTCGTGCATTTGCTTCAACGATGTGCGCGTTCCTCCGTCTGTCCTCCTCTCTCCAATTATCTCCTTCCAGCATCTTGGTCTCCTTAAGCCATCTGCATGACACCTGTGAGCGCGTCAGTAGTGTGCGTTGGTGAACGTGTGTAGGTGTGTGATCAACTCAAGGATGCATACCAGGAAACTACTGCTTGTTGGTTGTAGATCCTCTTGCCTGAACGTCTTTGGTCCTTCAGTTGAAGCAGAAAGTTTGATGCAAAATGGCGTTGGTAGATTTGCAGTGGCCCGTCGATGTTTTTACATGCATAATGAATAGGAACGGATCCATTATGCATGAGTTGGAGTCACTATGGAAGGCCTGATGCCCATGTGACACCCTTAAGGATCTCCCAAAGAGCTTTGCCACTGCCAAAGACTTTGAGTTTGCCACTGTGTCATTTGACGAACTGTGCCATTTTTTTTTCTCGGTCATCGTTCTGGATTCTACTTGTGGAAGAAAGTGAAGTTTAAGTAAACAGTATTTGATTCCAAAGCTTTCTTTTTGGTTTTTTTCTCATCTGCGGATCTTGAATCTACTTAAGTCATGATTGGGGTAAACAGTATTCACTCAACTGGCCGCATTCGCTCTCGCTCACTGTGCTCAGTGCGATGTGGACGGGACTTCAGTGTGATGGACCCATTTCGTTACACCAAAGCGCCTCGTTCACGTTCCTTAAAACCGCTGGCTTTTCCTGATCTGCTTGGGAAAGTTCAGGATGGCCAAAATCACCCACAAACCCGGAAGAAAAAGGCAAAGGTAACTAGTATCATGGAAATTTTAAGAACTGTTTTCCTACTTGCTTCAAATGATGGTTGATTAATTTTTCCATGACGTTTGACACAAAATGCTACATTCAAATAAAGTGGTCCATGGTTCACTTTCAGTTGCTATTTTTAGATGCATCAGTTGGATGTTTGCGAGCATGCATGCATGTTTATACATGCACGTGGCAAAACTGTTGTTGGCATTGTGTGATTTAACACAGTTGTTTTTCTCTTTTAACAGGCTCTCTACAACTCCATCAAAAATGAAAAACTGCAGTGGACAATGTAAGTGTAATGTTTTCCTTAGTGGCTCCCTTTTTTCAAAATATCAAAAATGAGAGCAGCATCCTCATTCAGTGTCATTCATTTAAAAGATTTGAAAATAATTCAATTCCTCTACAAATGTTATTGATTTACAAGTGGTGTAAGCCCAGTGTAGAGTCCTTTAACTGCTTTTTGAAAAACTTTTTAGGTTATAAAAATTAATAGGTTATATAAAAACGAAAAGCATTAGGTTCCATAATCTGGGTATTGTTTATTTTAATTTCCTTCACTGATATAAGCTGTTTATTAGAGATGTGCTTGAAATACTGTGCCAATAAAGCAAACTAAATAATTTTTGAATCTCCTTAAATTGAACCAGGCTATAAAAATACATGATGAATTGATTGTGCAAACTTTTCTTCATCGCTATCATAAGATGCTTTCATAACTGCTGTTTTCTCAACACACATTTTACAATTTAATAAACAAAGTTTATTGATTCTTTAATTGAGAAGAAAGAGCGCAGAACATTTACATATTCATCAAAACTTTGCTCTCAGAAGTGTCTGAATGTTTCTTATAATTAAATACATTTTTTAAAAACAAAAAGAACTTTGTTGTGAGTATTAAGGCTGCACGATATTGAAAAAAACGGACATTGCGATATTTTGTTTTTCTGCTAAATGCATTGCGATATGAATATATAATAGAAGACCTAAATAACTCTACTTGTAAAGAAATCATACATCTGCATAAAACATAATAAACAATTTGTAAGCATAGATGAATACTGCAGTACAAACATAAAAAATATTATTTGTTATGTTCTCTGCGGAGTCTAAGAACATAAATTGAACATTAATCAAATAACATTGTATTGTCTTCATTGTATTAATATTTAAATACAATTTAGTCTTTGTTAAATAGAATTTCTTGGTTTAAATTCTCTTGATATCTCAGTCACAGCTTCTTTTAAACACATCCAAATAATAAATATTTACTCTATTGAGGTTCAAATTGGTGATGACTCCACAAATCATGTTCTGAATGTGGTCCTGCTTATTATAATCACAACTCAACATTGCAGATCTTGCGATATCAATACTAAAACGATATATTGTACAGCCCTAGAGAGTATATTAAAGAAGTAAATCACATTCAATCTCTTGTGCATTTAGTAGAGGTGTCCCAATTAGGTTTTTTTGCCCTCGAGTTGATTTTGAGCATCTACTGATACCCGATACAATACTTCTATAACGCATTAAAAAGAATTTAGAAGAGTGAAGAAACAGATCCAGAATGATCCTTATTTTTTTTTTTTCAATTCACCTTAGTTTAACATTCAACAACTCGGTTAACAAACAGAGCACTTCTGTGAGGGAGCTTGAACAATCAAGTAATAGATAACATCAATTCTTCACTTTTGGACTTTAGTGCAACAGTAAAAATAATATAATATAATATAATATAATATAATATAAAATAATAGAATATAATATAATATAATATAATATAATATAATATAAAAACAAATAGCACCTCAACTTAAAATACCCAGCTGGCAATCCCAAGTTTACATACCTCACAGTTTGCTATGACAATGTTGTCATCATCAACTTTACAATACCTTCAAACCACAGACATACTTTCTGCTTTCTGCTTAAAGCTGCTTTTATGTTCTACTTTGCCGGCATTTAACCAATAGTGTCTCTGCAACAAAGTGATGTCATGCCGCACGTGTTGCTGTTTCTGTGGGAAGTCAAGAAAGAGGTCTAACTCTGCCAACGCATAACTGTAGATGTGTTATAAAATAATATATATTCAACGAATATATTCAAGTCGTGATCAGGAAGTAACTTCTGATCGAGCCTGAAACCACATGATCGAGCATCAATTTCCAATCATGTTCAGGACATCTCTAGCATTTAGTGTGCATGAATGCAAGGACAAGCAAAGAGTTGCTGACAACAGTTCACTTAACATAACCAGTGTCGATTTCTACTCTGCAAACATTTTAAAAGATTGTATAGATGTGATTTCTTTTAGTTGGTTCCAAATATGATTAAGAAATTAATTATTTTTAATGCTCTATAAAACATATCTACCATGCCTTCTACAATGACAGTTTTTTATTACATTTACATTACATTTACATTTAGTCATTTAGCAGACGCTTTTATCCACTTACAAATGGGGACAAGGACGCAATTTACACAACTATAAAAGCAACAATGAATAAGTGCTATAGGCAAGTTTCAGGTCTGTAAAGTCTAAGAAGGAAAGTATTAGTAATTTTTTTGTAATTTAGTAATTTTTTTTTTTAATTACCATTGATGTTTCCATGAAGCATCTTTAACATCCCTTTCATAGCACTAGAAGTGGTTTATAATGCAAGAAAAATCTTCAGCTTATTAAAATGCGCATTAAATAGTATAGAAAAAGAGTTTCTTTTCAGAACCGTTCCACAAAAGGTTCTTAAATGTTATTAGGTTCTTTAATGTTTAAGAAAACCCTCTTTTAAGATTGTATATCCATGTATTTATGACCTGGCCAGATCTGTTTGATGCCCTAAGCCCTTACTTCGGCTTTGGCTCTACAGATTTTGTTTCCATGGTTACTGCAAGTTGCCTCTCCGTAATTACAGGTTGAAATCTTTGACTGGCTAATGCGTAGACTTAAACACAGCCCTTCTTGCATACCACATTCGCTATACTAGAGGGGTTCTGCAGCATCCTTGTTTATGTGTGAAGGAGAAGACACAAGTTATTTTTCTATTCTCTTTCATTCAGTAGGGCTTCTTTCATCTTTATACATCCCAGCATCCCCATGCTCTACCCCTCCACTCTCTGCTTTGCTCTCCCTCCATTTCTCTTCATTGCACTTTCATTTATTTAGCATTGTGTGATTCTCAGCTAAAGGCTATCATTCAGTGTATGAATCAATGCACGTCAGTCATCATTTTTATGTGCCTGCTCCTTCTGCCTCGCTCTCCCATGGCGCTCCATCTTCAGAGCTGGCTCTCTTGGTTACCAGTGTGGAGGCCAGCAGTTACTAAGCAACAGATGAGAGCATTATCATGTGAAGGCAAAGGCGATGTGCTGCTCTCCGTAGCAGTTAGAGAGGCATGTTTAGCGGTCCAGGCCTCAGGGGCTCTGCGGGGTGTCTAACAGCACTCCCTGCGCAGCTGTCACTCAGCTGGATATATGTACTGGAGACTAAAAAAAATATCTGTGCCAAGCAGCAGCGAAGATGCAGTTACAGTTCCTATCAGTGACTGTAAATGCACAATAAAAATGCCTGTTATTGATATTTCACAAAGTACAAAGGTAGGTAACATATGGCACTCCATTTATGTTACCTGCTTACATGTGTGTACTTTCTGGAATATACTGCAAGACATATTTTTTATCATTCAAAATGTGCTGCAGGTGTCACAGGGGCGAAGTAGGTAGCACAATCACCTCAAAAGGTCACTGCTTCGAGCCCTGGCTGGGTCAATTGGCATTTCTGTGTGGAGTTTGTATATTCTCCTTGTGTTCACATGGGTTTCCTCCAATGCTCCGGTTTCCCCCACAGTCCGACGACATGTGCTATAGGTGAATTGAATAAACTAAATTGGCTGTAGTGCAGGCCCAGATTAAGCATTAAGAGGCTCCTGGGCACAACGTCTTGTAGGCCCCTTGCCTAGCCCTAACCCTATAGTTGAACTAAAAAATAAGATTAATATAATATTTTTAAATAAAATTAATCTATAATGTATTGCCTGCATTTTTTAAATAAACGATATACAGTGAGGGATTAAGCCAAAAAACAAAAACAAAAACGAATGAATGAATACATGAACAAACGATATACAGTACATATATCGTCACATATATCGTTTTTTAAAGTCTTATAATGTAAAATACTTAAAAAAGCATCCCATAATTTAAATAAGTTGTCTTTTAATAAGAATATGTAAATAGATCAATTTTGACAAAAATGTCAGATAGAACCTTATAATTCTAAGGCGACGATATGTCTACAAAGATTTAACTTATTTTTAAAGCATTTAAAGCACACTTTGATAAAAAATACTAGTAAAATTTGTGAAAATTTATGAATTTTAATATACTTGTTCAAGTTCACTGAAGCAGTACTAAAAATTATATTGAAGGGTATTTTTAATGTATAACTTCTACAAACTTATAATGCATATGATTTGGATATAACACCTCTCCAATCCAGTTCTATGAGTCCTCCATAAAATACACACTTATTAATGATTCATACTTGTCTTCCTCGTGATGAAGAGTAGGCAAAATCTGTTATCTAGTAGGGAAAAAAAGAAGAAAGTGTTCATCAGATGCTGGATTCGAAACTGGGTTCATGATCGATCGCGTTGCAACATGTTGCCATGTGCTTTACGAACGATGCCACTCACACTGCTGCCTACTGCGCCCTTTGCACATAGCCTAAATAGACACTCCAAAATCTGCTCCCCCCCCCCCCCCCTCCTTGGTTAATCCAGCCCTGCCATAGTGTATCAGTGTGAATGCAAGAGTGTATAGGTATTTCCCAGTGGTGCGTTGCGGCTGGAAAGGCATTCACTGTGTAAAACATATGCTGGGTAAGTTGGCGGTTCATTCCACTGTGGCAACCCCAGAATACTAAAGGGACTAAGCCAAAAAGTAAATGAATGAATGAAATGTGCGGCGATTTATCTGAAAAGGTAACTTGTTTTATAAATTAAGAAACACAGATAAGCAGACGTGTATGGAATCTGTAGCCACAGAAATCTGCAGAAAACACAGCAGAACACCTTGTGTTTAGATTTGTGCGGATTGCTTAGCCCAGAATCCAATCTGTTTATTTACTTATTTAAATGCAAGTGAGCGTGTGTATGCACACATTCAGTATATTCACAATATAATTTGTGAAGTAATATTTCCTGGTTTTAGTGGATGCATTATGTGGGAAACCAACTGTGGCTTTGTTAACCAAATTAAAATTTCATTGCAAAACTTAAAGAACAGTTAAGAAGTTATTTATTTTATTTGTTAGTTTTGCTCTCCAAGATTCTTAAAATCATTCTGCATATCTGCAGATTTTTTTCTTCACACAATTCTGCACATAAATAACAATAAATCAGCAGACTCTATCTGGCTCTGTACATAAGTCAGAATGGTATTGAAGTTGCATTAGTGTACAAGTTTTACTTTATAATTCCATTTATTGGGATTTATACACATTTGGATTGTTGCCAAATGATAGAGGCATTATTTTTCAGGTTTGCTTCAAATAAATCTGTTTAGGGCAGTGTTGGGGAAGCTACTTTAAAACTGTCATCTGACAAGCTACAAGCTACTCGTAATAGGTGTAAGCAGTTAAAGGTATAGTTGACCAAAAATAAAAATGATCTTACACTCAAGTGGCTTCAAACTATTATGACTTTCTTTTAGTATCATTTTCAAAAACATGCACCTAGCAACCTGTTTCCAAAACTTTCCACTTTTACATTGTCAAAAGGCTTTTATCATGCAAATGAACATGTAAAACGTTTGTGAACAGCCACTTATATAGCGACACAACATATCTGCGTTTCTCTCAAAAATGCAGTTTTCTCAATGTGTGACAATCTTATATTTATAAAAATATGTTATGTGGTGCATGTATGTGTGTTTAAAGTAAATAACTAAAGCGGCATTTAAATATTAATATTTAAATTCCATCTTACCTTTTGTGTTGAGAATGCAATCTGTTGTATGTAATATTGCTCTTGTTTATGTGCTGTACAGCGATGAGGAAGAACTGCGGAAGTCTTTCTCTGAGATGGACGGCAGGAAAGACTCTGCATCGCACACTATGAAGCGGATCAGCAGCGGAGGAAACTCTCTGATCAGTGTTGCACAGCAGTCCAGCGCACAGGTCTATAAGAACGGCTTCCTCGTGCGCAAAGTCCATGCTGATCCTGATGGGAAGAAAAGTAAGTCATGTCTCAAATGCATATCATGTGGTGAAGGGTAGCTGATGTCACCATTGACCCTTAAGTTGTTCCAGTCCTTTATCATTTAGATTCTTTGGATAAAATATTTTGATTAAGAATAAGAATTACTTTTCAAAAGAACAAGATTAATGAATTTGATGTTGATTTACTGTTATCTACTTACTATACTTCATAGCCTACTTTTAAGTGTTCTTTCCATAAATACAATTACATGTAACAACAAGTATATGTAACTAGGCAAATTGGACATTTTGGCATACAGTAGGACATGACCGTTTTCAAGGTATACCACGGTTTGAAAAAGTCAAGGTTTTAAAACCGCCAAATTTTCTGTAATACCGTTCCTAAGGAATGTGTAAGATTTGTTATTTACATTTTCTGTTTTTGTTTTTAGGACAACAGTATCTTCAGCAAAAAAGATATGCAAAGATGCGGTTTTAAATTGTATAGAAATCTGTGTTTTTAAAACAAAAAAATGTAATCTATTGTGTTCAAAGGAGACAAATTTGTTGTTTTTTATCCAGAAATGTACAAAGAATTTTAGAGCAGTAATCACAATACCGTGATACCGTGATATTTTGTCCAAGGTAATCATACCATCAAAATCTTATAGCGGCCCATGTCTTTGTTTAACATACATTGTAAAATAAAATGGTATCATATTTTTCGCTATATTGTCCATTTAAATCTCTGTAATCTAAATAATATTATTTAAATAACTACAAAACAAAGTGCAATTAAAGAGTTCACCCCAAAAAATTAATTTATCCAGTATTTATTCACCCTAAACCTTTAGGAGTTTATGAGATATTCTGAAATTTGTTTGACTGTTTAACCATTGACTTTCATAGTATTTGTTTTTTCTATTATGAAAGTCAATAGTTGCTGGTTTCCAACAATTCTCTAAATATCTTCATATGTGTTAAATGAAAGAAGAAAGCTCACACAGGTTTGTGACAATTGGGTAATTAATGACTTTTCAATTTTTGGTGAACCATCCTTTTAAGTAAGAAACAACAAACAAAAGAAAAGAATACTTTTTTATATTTTTTTCATCAGTGTATTTTAATAAATGTGTTATTAATAAAAATATTTATCTTGAACTAATCCATATTTGACTAAATGTTTTTTTTAGCTCCACGAGGTAAAAGAGGGTGGAAAACGTTTTACGCTATCTTAAAAGGACTGATTCTCTACCTACAAAAGGTACATTTCACGTGTTAATTTTTCATTCGGTGTGAATCATACTTGTTTGTGGCTGCCACATAATAATAATATGCATAGATTGTAGTTCAGATGTCAATAATTTATGATTTTCTTCTACTTTGACTGTTTTGCAGGATGAATATCGTCCAGATAAGCAGCTGTCAGATGAAGACTTGAAAAATGCAGTATCAATCCATCATTCTCTAGCCATGCGGGCAGCAGACTATAGCAAGAGACCAAATGTGTTTTACCTGCGTACTGCTGACTGGAGAGTCTTTCTCTTCCAGGCACCGTAAGTCTCATTTAACTAAAAAAAAAAAAAAAAAAAAAAAGTTGGCTTTTAGGCTTGCTTTTAATAATAATAATCCCTTACATTTATGCAGCGATTTTCTGGACACTCAAAGCAATTTACACATTGGGCAAACTTGCAAGTGGGCAAATTTGGCCAGGATGCCATGGTTTGACCCCTACTCTTTTTCAAAGGAATCCTGAGATTTTTTAGCAACCACAGAGAGTCAGGACCTCAGTTTAACACCTCATCAGTGCTCACTGAGTCCCCATCAATATGCTAGGGTGTTAGGACCCACACAGACCAAAGGTTGAGCGCACCCTCTCACTACTTCTGGCACCAACCTAGTTTTTCCCATGTGGTCTACCATCAGGTACTGACCGGATTCAGCCCTGCTTAGCTTTAGTGGGCGACCACATAAGAGTTGCAAAGAGCTAGCTGCGCTTTTTGTGTTTTGGCTTTTTCATTTATGCACCTAAATCTCTTTTCCTAAATCTAAGCAGCTAATAATAGTTTTTTGCATAGCATTTAAAAAAAATATATATTTTTGATCAAATAAATGCAGCCTTCGTTGACTTTGTACAAAAAAAAAATTCAAAAGTTTATTAGTCTTTTTGATTTGTGTCTTATTAATTATTATTTAAGTGACCCCTGATAAATCAGGGACTAAGCTGAAGGAAAATAAATGAATAATTATTCATTATTACACCCCAGGGGTAGTTAGTCTATATAAACAGGAAAGAACACACTGACTGGCTGTCAAAACAAGGACATATACCTGAGGTGACCCAGTGCTGCGTCTGGTTGTTGATTACATGCAGGGCTGGTAACGGCCTTGTCAAAGAGTTCTCATCTCAGATGAATGACTCCACGTGTATCTCCCAAGAGACCGGATCCTTCTCAGCTATTCTGTCTGTCCCAGATACACATACTAAAACTCTCTCCCTCTCATTCTGCTCCATCTGTTCCACTCCAACTCCTCTGCTAACAACTGCCTGCTAATTGCCCACTTTTCCAGGCTGTGCAATAAACAGAAAGTGCAGTTTCTTTGAGCCAAGAAAACTGAGACATCATTTTTTTCCTTCGTCTGAAGGAAAAGGATTCTCTTATTTTGACCTGTGCCTGCCTTTTAACCCTAGGAACGCAGAGCAAATGCAGTCCTGGATTACTCGCATCAACACGGTGGCAGCCATGTTTTCTGCACCTCCATTCCCAGCAGCCATCGGCTCCCAAAAGAAGTTTAGCCGTCCTCTTCTGCCGGGCTCAAACACCAAGCTCTCACAGGTAACACAGATTTCTCTGACTTCAGAAAAAGAAATGTATTATATGTAGACTGGTAATAAAAAATGAATAGCATGGTGTGACTGCTAAAATGAATTAAAAGAACATACTCCAAAATCCTTTTAAGGCTTGTGGCATTGTAGAAAAGAAGATTAGGTTGTTTACTGTTACTTCATGAATGCACAAAATTTGTTTGGAAAATAGAGACAGCAATGTGACATTGGAAAGAAATGTAATGTGCTCAAAACTTAAGTGAGTGCTTATACAGTAATTTGGGTTTAGAACAATAATCTCACAACTTTTTAATCTGCTGATTGAATGGTCAATCAAAATCCCTGGTTTAAGATAAAAAAATGTTTTAACGTTCTTAAAAAATGGCTGTTTGGATATTAGTTTTATGTTGTAAAACAGTAATACTATTTTCAACAAATGTTTAGATGTATTGACTTTGACCAATCTTAATCATAATTTTCAGAAACATTTTAAATAAGGGTCAGATATTCCTCAAATCAGTGATGTGCAGTGAGGTTTGTGGCTGGTGAGGCACTGACTCTTTCAAAGTCAAAATCAGATTTACAAACATATTCACCCGATATATTTGTAAACTACCGTTTGTGTTTCATATCTCATATCAGCATTCTTTCTATAAACATGGCAGGTACATATTGAAAGAAGGAATGTAAAATGTATAGCGATTCAATATGCCTCCTAAAAAACACCAGCTGTAATACATTAAATAAAACATAATAAGAAATACCAGTTTGCAATAGTAAGCAGTACAATAAGCTGCTTTTTTATAGTTTAAAATTAATGGAATCCTCTTACAAGGCAAAAAAATGTTTAAAAAGTTATAAAAATTATCACATCTTAGGACTTATTAATTATCATATATAGGTCCTCTGTAGACCCTTCCCTGTATTGGTAAGGAAACTGAATAACATTCTTGTATGTTCTTCATTATGATACAAGGAGGAGCAGCTCAAATCTCATGAAACACGTTTTCGGACTGTTTCTGCTGAGCTCCAGGAACTGCGCTCTACACCTCAAGACCGCAAGACCAAAAGCAGGGACCAAGAAGAATACAAGCAAAGGGAAGAGTATCTTGACTTTGAGGTAAAAACATCACATCTTTACTTTCTATTCCCAAGAGAATTTCTTACAGTGACTTCCATTCTGCCATTCTTACATCTTTTTTTTCAATGTATCTCCCAGAAAACACGTTACGGAACATATACAATGCTGCTGAGAACTAAGATCCGCATGGGAGAAACGGACCTGGCGGCATTTGAGGGCCGTTTGTTTGAGGACAGCGGTTTACAGAGGACCCACTCCAGCCCTACGTTACCCCAGGACATCAGCCATGCCAGCAGCACCAAAGAAACCAGCAGGAGCAGCAGCGGCAGCAGCAGGAGGACCAAACGCTCAGACTCTCAGAGACACAGCTTCAAACAGGCTGCCAAACAGTGAGATGAACCAGCCACAATTGGTTATTTATCTCCATTCAGGAGCTCTGCCAGGACGCCTGCAGGTTTCTTCAATGGCTGCTCTCGTCGAGTGGTCATGATTACGAAACTGCAGTTGGGATTTCTGTCCCCGATGTGACCGCTGGTTAAAGCATGCCTTTTCTAGCCGGTAAATGGGCCCAAATCTGCAAGTGGGCCGATGAGAAGGAGCACCAGCCTGACATTGTCTCATTCCTGTCAGTCTTTGTTTTGTCACCACAGATCTGTTGACTTTATCTGTGTATTTTGCTTGTTGGTTGTTGGTTTAAAACAGTTGCGGCTTAGAACAAGTTGCAAATTTTTAAAGGAGAGACCTCTTTATCATGTGAAGATACTGTAGGTGGTTCACTTTATATATTTAAAGCATTGTAGATTTTGCTTTTTAGATGATCAGTTCTCCAACTGAAGTCGATCAGGCGCTTTAACACCTTATGAAAGTTTAGTCTGTATAGTCCTTTAAACCTTCTTAAAGCACGTCTCAAAGCATGCCTAAGATGTTTGAAGACAATCAGTTCGCATTTGGTAAAATAACTGAGAATATGAATGCATTTTTGTTAATTCCAGGGAACTAGTGACAATGACAGTGTAGCTAGAACATCCCTTGTGATAAATATTTGCACTTGGAGTCTATTTCATATTTTAAAAGCATTTTAAAACAGTACATTTAGACAATATAATATTAATGAAAATGCCACTTAAGTGTACTTAAATATAGTACACTTTATCTTGACTGACTCTTGTAATCCACATGAATCAGAAGTTGCTGCGGACTTTTATTTCAGTATGATGACGCATGACGTGGCTAAGCATATTTCAGCCAAGCCGTCCAACTGACGTCTTCAGAGAAGGACTGTTATTCCAAAGTCTAAGCAAAAGGTTAGATTTTGATTACTAATTGTTCACCTTAGGACTAAAAATTCAAGAACACCCTCAATTTTAATTTCACTTGTGTCACATAACAATTTTAAATTTCACTTGCTAACCTTCGGGCTTACTTTGTTTAAAAACAATAGGGCTAGCCTTGTGTTTGAAAAATTATCAATTAATAACTTTTTATATTGTCAATGTGTCAAAAACAATATTCCAAACCCCAGGTGGTCTGAAATATAGCCTGATTCTTTTCTATTTTGAGGCGTTTTTGTCGGAAGAATCAAAACACGTGACTGACGGTTAAGCGCGCTCCCGAGAGACTTTCTTTCATTTAACATGACAGGTAACGAATGTTGATCCAAACAATGCTGAAAAGAGCTATTTTGTGCAGTAATGTCAATGTGTCACGGATTAATTAAATTGGAGTATTGCAAATACTGTATATTGTCATTTAAAACAACGCTAACTAACGTTACTTTTGATTAAATTACACTAACGTTACTGTCTTTGTTCATTTAACTTACCTGATCTGTGAACATGATGCAGGTGAATTATGATGCTAACATATCCAAATCGCTATGAATCGGCTGCTTTATTAAGTTAACTGTTGTCCTCTTTTCGCTCTTTCTGGTGTGTAACGTTAGTTTATTGAAAGGAAAGACGTCATATTCATTCATCAAACCGTTGCTCAAAGGCAGAGCAGTGATGATGGCGTCTGGAAGTTTGTTATCAGTACGTCGCCCTAGAAAAGTATTTACAACTTACCTTCATTTGCACACTAAGAATGGGAAATTGTTTCAACACGAGTCTTTAGGGCACCGAATCACGTTCTGTCTCTTGAACGTTATGTGTACGAGCAAAAAGTTGCTTGTCGCAGTTCACGTAACCACCACAGGTGTCGCTATTAAGTGGGCTTTTTGTTTTCCACAAACAACCCCTGTATAATTTTTTTAACTTAATATTTTGACGTGTTAATAAAAAAACTAAAGCACGTATGTTTTAAACTATTTTCTTTCAATAGTAAGTACATTTAAAATTTAGCTGAAGTTAACTTTTTCACAAGGGATTAAGCTGTCATTTGTTTTAACCAAGCAGTGCTCATGACCAATTATTACCATGTGAAACGGATGTTAAAATCGACCCTATTGTGTTATTTTGTGTAATGTGTATTTTAAAATATGTATTGAGCTTAAGAATGACGTGATGCAAAATCTCTGTGTCAAAAAAAGACCAAGCCATTGAACTCTCAGGCACTCATTTTCAAAAATTTGTGATTTATTCAGTGCTGTGGTAAAAATGGAGGTTTGATCAGAGAGTAACCACATGTTAATACCTCAATTGCACTGAGAGACCTGCTTAAGGAGTGTTATTTGGTTGGAAGTAATTTAACTGTTTACAAACATGCGTTATTGTGTTAAAATGAATTTAGTTGAACTATTGTCTTATAGGAATGAAAGTAAGCTTCTATGCTGCTTATCAGAACCTCGTGAATTGTCCTGTTGGTATCAGAAATATGAAGGATCCAAGAAATTGTAAAACTTGCAAAACACCATGAATGCAAATCCAGGTCACACAGATCTAAACTGACTGTTAACACTGCCAGCATACAGGTCAAATTCAGAAATAAAAAGACACTAAATACACTACAAAATGAGAATCTGGGACCCGAAATCCATCGAATGGCACTTAAGTAGTGTTATGCTTCACTGCACTATGAATAATAGGTGTATTTAATGAAAACAAAAAAAGAGTTATTTATATATTTTGAACATTTATTATCCATATTGAGTATTTGTTTATACCTGAAACATATTGACTAAAAGCTTTATACAAGTTTTTATAGGGAACACTCAACCACTGCGGGTAGTTCAGTGTAGCCCAAAGGTTTTGCTGTAAATGTAACTTATTTCTTATAACTTAGATTTTGTGTTTGTTGTGTTATTCTCTCTAGCTGTATATAATGTGAATATTATGTTACAGCCTCTCAGTAAAAGATATTGCTATGTTTGTATGTTTTGAAGGCATAGGAAAAATAAATCTGTTTTGAAACGATAACCGCTTCATTTGATATATTTGTGTGCACATCACAAGACTATAAATGGGGTTCAGATGATTTATAATGAAATAAAATTTCATTCAATCATTTTCTTTTCAGCTTAGTCACTCTATTAAAATAATAAATAAACAAAAAAAAACTTATCCAGCATGTTTTAGGCAGCGGATGCCCTTCCAGCCGCAACCCAACACTGGGAAACACCTACACACTCACATACACTACAGACAATTTAGTTCAGTCAATTCACCTATACCGCATGTCTTTGGACTGTGGGGGAAACACATGTGAACACGGAGAACATGCAAACTCCACACAGAAATGCCAACTGATCCAGCTGGGGCTCAAACCAGCGACCTTCTTGTTGTGAGGTGATTGTGCTACCCACTGCACCACTGTGCTGCCCCTGGGATAACAACATAAGGTTAAATGAATGTTTTTCAGTCTCTTCTGCTTTGCACAACATTTGAGCAGAAATAAATGTATATTTAGGAAGGTATCAATTTTCCTTCAGCTTAATTCCTCTCGCTTTATTTGTCAGGGGTCACCACAGCAGAATCAATCTCCAAATATTCCAGCATATGTTTTACACAGCGGATGCATTTCCAGCTGCAATCCAGTACTGGGAAACACCCATACACTTTCACATTCACATACTTATACACTATGGTCAATTTAATTAGTCCAGTTCACCTATAGCACATGTCTTTGGACTGTGGGGGAAACTGGCACACTCGGAGGAAACCAAAGTAAACACGGAGAGAACATGCAAACTCCACACAGAAATGCCAACTGGCCCTTAGCTGTAAGGTGACAGTGATAACCACTGAGCCGCTGTGCCACCCTTAGTGAATTATATTTTAGTTTATTATAAATGTTTGTATATTTATATTTTAAATAAATATTAAAATAAGTTTGGGGTTACTCTGATTAAAAAAACAAAACAAAAAAATCAAAGGCTGCTGTTATTGGAGCAAAAATACAGTAAAACTGATATGGCATAATTTAGTGAATTAATATCATTAAAATTAAAAATAACAATTTTTATATATTCTAAAACGCAATTTAGGAAAATGGTCCATTTTAGTTCACCATAAATGTTTTACAGCATTACGGACAGTAGTCTTTTAACAACATTCCAAATACATAATATGTTTAATAAATAATGTTCATTAACTTAGCAAAAAAATTAACTAAAAACAGTAATGAAGTGAAATATTATTACAATTTAAAATACAATTTTAAATTTTTTGGCCATTTTTTTATTCACACAGGCTGCATTTATTTGAGCAAAAATACAGAAAAAAACAGTAACAGTGACATATTAAAATTTAAAATAACTTAATACATTTGAAATATTTTGCTAATGCAAAGCTGAATTTGAATTAGTCAATAGTCTACTTTTCAGTGTGACCCGTCCAGAAATCATTATAAGATGATGAATGGATGCTTAAAACAATCATCACAATGAATGAATGTATCGATTTCCCAAAATTCAGTCTAAAAACAAAGAATGATGAAATATCTTTAATAAAACAAACTTATTTATTTCTGCATCCAAGAAACACACAACTGCAACATAAAAATGTACATAAATAAACAGCATAAGTCTTTAGATGTATCAGAAAATATTCTTAAGTTTGCATATCATATCAAACGACAGCTGACAAGAATTATTCATATCAGTACATTCTACAAACATGTTAAGGTTACAGCTGTGCTAAAAAACGACAGTCGCATTATTGTTAAATTACCGTGAAGTCAGATGGGTTTTGTTGCTCATGTGGGGATAAGATACAAGCACTGAAATGCCTGCAGAAAAGCAGCTTCACTCCATACCGCAGAGATTTGAGAATCTTAAAGCAACCGATTCCTGTCATGTCTTATTGTTATGTAATACCATTGAGAGATTTTGACCTCAAAACTGCTCTTTTCAATCCTTTCTCTGGTGTGCTGCATTTCCTATTTGAGATGATGTACAGTCCAACGGTTTGCACCTGAAGAACCAGTAAACTAATAAAGTGCTAAGTTGTCCTTATTGAATGGATACTGATGATCAGTGATTGCCCACTGCAGGATTTGCCATCTCCTCTCCAATAGACTGACTGCCGAAGCCACTGTCCTCTGTGGAGTCTAGTAAAAAAAAAAAGAAAGAGGCCTTTGATTATTATCACACCTCACTTTAATCACCAGGTATGTGCAAACATAAGAGGTGTGTCTCAATTTACGTACTTATACACTATTCTACACCATGTACACTACCTCACAAAAGTCTTGTCACCAAGTTTTTGAAATTACACATGATAACTTGACTTCTAGTTGATCACTTGGTATCAGAAGTGGCTTATATGAAAGGCAAAGTCCTCTAGATTACGCTTATTTAACCAAAATAAAATTGTGCCATGTGCCATGATTTTTAATTAATTCTTAGACAAATGTCTTGTCACTCAACAGTTCATCAAGATTCTTTGGATCTATTTTCAATGCCTCCTCCATTTTTCCCCAGACATGCTCATTAAAGTTCATTTCTGGTGACTGGGCAGGCCAATCCGGAGCACCTTGACCTTCTTTGTTTTCAGGAACTTTAATGTGGAGGCTGAAGAATGAGGAGCGCTATCCTGTTGAAGAATTTGCCCTCTCCTGTGGTTTGTAATATAATGGGCAGCACAGATGTCTTGATACCTCAGGCTGTTGATGTTGCCATCCTCTGTGCAGATCTCTTGCATGCCCCCATACTGAATGTAACCCCAAATCATGATTTTCCCTTCACCAAACTTGACTGATTTCTGTGAGAATCTTGGGTCCATGCAGGTTCCAATAGGTCTTCTGCAGTATTTGTGATGATTAAGATGCAGTTCAATGGAGGAATCATTGGAAAGATCTAACTTCTAGTGGATCATTTGGAAAAGTGGCAGAAGTCAAGTTATTATTTGTTGCTCTAACAATTGGGATTGATGACAAGACTTTTGTCAGGTAGTGTAATATAAATAGTGAAGTAGTGCATTTACAGCATAAATTCTATAAGGAATAAATGCAATTGAAATACCTGGATGATGCATTTATTTAACTGAATAAAAGAAGTGTGTAAAGTTGAACACTTTATGCGTTCAACAGTCTAAATATTCTGACGGTGCAAAAGAAATCTTGATTTTTAAAAATGATCATAGATTATTGGATTATTATTGCTCACTTTTTAGATGAGTTTGTAGCATTTACAGTCTTTTCTGATTGCTTTATTTAAAGAGATATAGTATATATTTTTCTGTAAATAAGGTTGATATTACACCTATAAACAGTGTGCTCGTTTTTTGATTATTTTAGAACTTCTGATTCAGGCGCCTATTGGGGACATGACTAGGGAACAATAAACGGTAGAAAACGATTAAATTTCTTGCTCTAAAAACAAAGTTGTTCATAAATATAGATAGAAAGAAGAAGAATATCATAAGAAAATATCAGTTTGCAACATGAAGCAGCAGATCGAGCTCTTTTTAACCTCTAAAAATCAATAGAAGTGCATGAAAAGTCTTATAGTCAAATCTCAAGCCACAAAATTCCAATAGCTGTGCTCACTCGTACGTGAAGAATAAGGTCAATACCATGGTAGAATGTACAAAGTAAAAACCAAGTAAAAACAAAGTCCTCAAAATAATGAAAAAAGCAATAGAATACAATATACAAATCAAACTGCTGTATGCTTCTTCACTGAAAGAACTGAACTTAATTTGCTTCTTATTAAAGCCACAAAAGATGCACAAACCAGCACAAGTTTTCTTTTGTGCCTTAAGGATGTTATGAATGTATGTATGGCTTAAAGACAATTGTGTGTGTGTGTGTGTGTGTGTGTACACAATTATAGGGTGGTAGCAATAAGATGGATTTGGCTTGAGGAAACAATATGCTCCGATATTCGAGTGCACAGAGATCTGTCTGATTTAGAAGTGTTAAAGTGTTTAGTTTGTTACATGTGTTGATTTGTGTGTGTACCTGAGCTCTGTTTGTCTTCTCTGGGTTGACTATCTCTCAGCAGCCTCACTCCTTCCCTCACACCCAGAGCCTGCAGCGCCTCCACCAGGCCATCCACAGGACCACCACTCAACTGAAAACATACACAAATACCCTTAGTAAAGCATTTAGATCAGACGACAGCAGACAGAGGATGTGTGAATTCAAAATATACTAAAAGGTATAACCTAATAAATACAGCCTACAGATTTATTTTCATATGTACATGTAGTTGCTTTAAGTAATTCATTGTGTTTTTTTTAAATGTTCATCTAGTAGCTTAAAATAATGTACCAGTTTTGTGAAAAAAAAACTGTAAAATACAACCTTAAAGTGAGTTTATATTTTGCAAATCTGACTTGATATAATTTTTTTCTTCTTTTTTTCTAAGAAAAGCAATGCACACATGATTTGTTAGTTTATCATGAATTTTGCGATAAAATCTCACAAATATTCTGACTTCTTCTCAGAATTGTTCTTATCTCACAATTTTGAGAAAAACTCTTCCATTTCCACTTTTCTTCTCAGGATTGTTTTAAGATCTTACATTTCTAATAAAAAGTAATAAAAGGAACACACAATTTAGATTTTTTATGCCATTTTGAAATTATCTCCTCCCACAATTTTAAGTATTTTTCACTGTATTGCGTTTAACTTTTTTTTTTCCAAAAATCTGCAATAAATAAATTTCATATTTTGAATGTATCCTTTTCAAAGTGGACCGACAATTCTGAGAAAAAGTTAGACTTGTGAAATGGGAACAAGCTCCCATGACCTCATTCTTAATTACATGTTTGAAACAAAAATAATACCACATGTAAAGATTATTATGCATAATTTATAAACAAATTCTACATTTATTTATTAACTTATTGCATATTATTTATACATTTAGTAGTTAAATGGTGAGTAAAGAAATGTTAACACTACAGTGCTCAGCATATATTTAGTGCATTTGAACAAAGCAGATTTAATAAGCCAATATATTTAGTAA